GGAAGAATGTCTGGGGACGGGACAAGAGGTCAGATCCCCCCTAAGTACTCATGTAGCCGCCACCATAGTCAGGACACTCAAGCATCATCACTATACAAGGCTCCTTCTGCCACCTGTGTAGTCGCACCCAGCCCCACCCCTAACCCCTGGGGACCACTCATGTGTCCCCCATCTCTGTAATTATCTCATGCATGTTATACACATGGAATCACACTATCGGTATCTTGTATGATTGTATTCTTTTACTCAGCATAATCCCCTAGAGATGCATCCAAGTTCTTGCATGTATCAATAGTTCCTTCCTCTTTATTTCTGAGTTGAACCAAGTTAATTTCCATGTTTGAAGATTGTCTTTCTGTTACTGATTTTTAGTTTGATTACATTTTTTGTCAGAGAAAATGCTCTCTGTGACTTCACTTCTTTTACATTTGCTGAGGTCTGTTTTATGGATACAGTCTATCCTGGCATGTCCCTGGGCACCTGTGAATAACGGGCATCCTGCTCTGTTGGGTGGAGGGTCTGTAAATGTCCACTGATCCCTTTGGTTGATGGTGTTCTGTGTCCTTGTGGAATGTCTAGTAGTTCCAGCAGTTGTGGAGAGTGGGTGCTGAGGTCCTCACCTGTAATTGGGGGTTGGTCTCTCTCCTTTCAGCTCTGCCAGTGTTTGCTTCATGTATCTTGAAGGTCTGTTGTTTGGGTCATAAACATTTGCGATTGCTATGTATCTTCCAGGTGGATTGATCCTTTCATTCTTACACAATGGACCTCCTTTTCTGTAGAAATTTCCCTCGCTCTGAAGGGAAATTAGCTGATATTAGTCATTGTGTTTTTTATAAATGAATGTTTACACGATGTCTTTTTCCTTTTTCTTTCAACCTACCCACATCATTACGTTTGAAGTGAGTTTTAGCATACAGTAAATGACATGTATTTGGGTCGTGGTTTTTTATTCCCTCTGCAAATCTGTCTTCTAACTGGTGTGTTTGGCCCCTTTACATTTGAACTATTGATAATTAGAGGTTAAGTTTGCCATTTTGTTATTTGTGTTTGTTTCCTCGTGCCATATTGTGGGATACTTGAATATCCTTTAGAATTCCACTTTATAACGTATTGAGTATCTCACTGTTTACTTTTCTTAGTGGCTGTTCTACCCACTCTTGTGCACGTGTGTAATTATCAGTTTATTGGTACCGATGTTTTGTATCTAGTGCAATGTAGAAACCTCCCTTTACTGTCCTCACTTTTCAAATATAATTATTGTAAATATTTCCCCCACATGCACAGAGCTCATCAGTATTATAATTTTTTTAATATAAATTTATTTATTTATTTAATTTTGGCTGCACTGGGTCTTTGTTGCTGCATGCTGGCTTTTCTCTAGGTGCGGAGAGCAGGGTCTACTCTTTGATGTGGTGTGTGGGCTTCTCATTGTGGTGGCTTCTCTTGTTGTGGAGCACGGGCTCTAGGCGCCTGGGCTTCAGTAGTTGTGGCACACGGGCTCTAGAGTGCAGGCTCAGTAGTTATGGCGCACAGGCTTAGTTGCTCTGCAGCATGTGGGATCTTCCCAGACCAGAGATCGAACCCTTGTCACCTGCATTGGCAGGCAGATTCTTAACCACTGCACCACCAGGGAAGTCCCAGTATTATAGCTTTTGCTTCAACAATCAGATATGAAAAATATGCCACTTACTTCTGGCCGCTGTGATTTCAGACGAGAAATCTGTCATTCACACTGGTGTTCCTCTCTAGGAGACACATCATTTCTCTCTGGCTGTTTTTACATTTTTTTTCTGTCTTTAGTCCCCAGAGGTTTAATTAATGATGTTTCTTAGTAGGGATTTTTAGAAGGCTTATCCTACATAGGGGTTCCTTAGTTTCTTGTATCTATGGGTTTATGTCTCTCACCAAATTTGGGAAGTTTTCAGCCATTATTTCTTCAAACACTTTTTCAGCCCACATTCTCCCTCCTCCTGTTCTGGGGCTCTGGTGATAAAAACGATTGTCCTGCAGATCTGAGGCTCTGTGCACTTTTCTTTTTTTTTTTTTTTTTTTTTTTTTGCAGTACGCGGGCCTCTCACTGTTGTGGCAGCTCCCGTTGTGGAGCACAGGCTCCGGATGCGCAGGCTCAGCGGCCATGGCTCACGGGCCCAGCCACTCCGCGGCATGTGGGATCTTCCCCGACCGGAGCACGACCCCGTGTCCCCTGCATCGGCAGGTGGACTCTCAACCACTGCGCCACCAGGGAAGCCCCATAAATATTTTTAAAAGCATTTTTATGACTGCTTTAAAATCCTTGTCAGAGAATTCCAAGATCTATCTTGGTGTTCACGTCAGTTCACTTCTTTTCACGTTCAAATAATGGTTTTCCGTGGTTCTCGGTATGACCAGTGGCTTTTTACTGTATCCTGGACATTTTGGTTATTGTGTTAGAAGAATCCTGATTTTATTTAAATCTTCTATTTCAGGGACTTCCCTGGCAGTCCAGTGGTTAAGATTTCGCCTTCCAATGCAAGGGGTGCAGGTTCTATCCCTGGCCAGGGATCTAGGATCCCACATGCCTTGCAGCCAAAACACCAAAATATAAAAGTAAAAAAAAAAAAAAAAAAAAAAGCTGTAGAATCTGGAAAGGCTCAAGACATGGGACTTTTAGGTACTTCTAAAAGACTGGACCAGGGACTTCCCTGGCAGTCCAGTAAGACTCCACCTTCCAATGCAGGGGGTACAGATTTGATCCCTGGTTGGGGAGTTAAGATTCCACATGCCTCGTGGCCAAAAAAACCAAAACATAAAACAGAAGCAGCAATATTACAAATTCAATAAAAACTTTAAAAAATGGTCCACATCAAAAAAAAATTAATCTATTTCAGCAGAAAGTCGTCCCATTTAGGTTTAGTGTGTAAATTCCAGCTTCTACTTTTATAGCCTGTGGTTCCAATGATAGTTTTATTTCCCCAGCCCTTGCAATGCCCTTCCTGTCTGCTCCATTCCCCCGGTGCTGCCCCGGCTGTCACTCCATCCCTGTGGGTGCTGCCTGCAGTGTCAGAAGGCATGTGGCCAGGCTGCCTGGTGGTTAAACAAAGACCTCAAGAAATAGCGGAACAGAGAAGCTTACGACTCACAGGTCCTGGAGGAGGTACAGGCACAGTGCCCAGGAGTCAGGACCCGGGGCGCACACCTGTATTAGGTCCACAGGGCTGTGCTTTGGGGTTCCTGGGCTAAGGCTGGATAGGTCAGTTCAAACCAGAGGGAGCAGGGTTTTGGTGAGCTTCACAGGGGTTTAATCTATGGGGCCCACAGGGAGAGAGGTTATCACAAGGGTGCTGGGGGGGGGGTCACATCAGGAACTTCGGTTTACTGGTGACTCTGCAGGCTGTCATCTAGGTCACGCACTCGAGGGAGGGCTCCTGTCAGTTCAAGGCCCCGCAGGCAGCGGGCCACACAGAACAGATGCCGAGGCAGTGATCGTGTACTCCGTGAGTGGCCTGTTGGCAGGCCTGGGTTGCAGCGCCCTCTAGCGCCTGTTCCAGGAACCTGTAAGCAAGAAAGAGAAACCCCAGGGACCCATCCCATGGCTGTTCCTCCAGTGCTGGAGTCCCCAGTCGGCCCGCTTCCTTTCCAGCTCAGAGCCTTTCCCCATCGTCTGCTGAACTAGCTGCGAGGTACTTAGTTATACTTCGTGGGGAGCAGCCGGGAAAGTGAGTCTGCAGCACCTTCTGGAGCAGGAAGTTCACCACCCCCATTTAAGTGTCTACTCACTCATCTCGGCCAGAGCACGGCCTTCGCAATGGCCTCATGTGGCGACTGCCTGGCTCCCTGCTAACCTGTTCCGCAACAGCCAAAGCAGTTTTCTAAAAACACAAACCTTACGTGAAACTCTTCCACCTTAAATCCTCCCTTGCGCCCCCCACTGGGACCCAGTGGAGCCACCCAGAGGACCCTGCCCCCCCTGGGCCCCTGGGCTCTAGCCACAGGGCACTTTTCTTCATTTCCCGGAACAGTGTCAGGCCCCCTCCCGGTATTTGTTCCTGGGGATGCCCAAACAAGTACCATAAACCTGGCAGCTTAAACAACACAAATTTATCTCCCCACTGTTCTGGAATCCAGAAGTCCAAGATCATGGTGTCAGAGGCTGCTTCCCCCGAGAGCCGTTGAGGGAGTGAGTCTGTTCCAGGCCGCTCTCCTAAGCTTGCAGATGGCCATCCATGTTCATAATCGTTCTCCCTGTGGGCTTGTCTGTCTCCAGTTTCCCCTTTCTATAAGGACACAGTCATATGGATTAGGGCCCATCCTAATGGCCCCTTCTTAACTTGATGAGTCTGAATGGCCCTATTGCTAAGTAAGGTCATGTTTTGAGGTCCTGGGGGGGTCAGGACTCCACTACGTGAACTTTGGGGGGCACAACTGAGCAGTCCCACTCCCACCATAGGCCTTTGCCCATGCTGTCCCCTCCCTCTGCAACGCTTTCACTCCCCCTTCACCTAGTTAACTCTTACTTACCCCCTATATTACTCTGGGGCTGTCACCTCCTCCAGGAAGCCTTCCAGTCTACACCAAGTTCCTTGGCCTTCATCCCTCAGGACCACGGTAACCGCACGCTGATTACCGTGTCACCCACTAGACCAAGACCCGAGCCGGAGAGACCAGGTGCCCGCTCCACGTCACCGTTTCCGACGGAACTGGTCCGACCCGGGCATGCAGGAGATGTGAGGGCCACAGTAGCCACCTGAGGACACGAAAGGGCACGACCACCACGCCTCACTGAACACAAGTCCGCAGCGGCCACCATATCGGGCTCCAGACCTGCCCAGGACCCCCGGCCTGGCCCGCGTCCCCTCAGCCCTCCGACTCCCCGCCCCGGCCCCGCCCCCCGGCCGTGTCCTGTCAGTGTTCCGAGCTGCCAATAAAGTTACTCTCGGAGCCGACCGGAAAACGCGCCGTAATCCGCGCCGCGACCGTCGTAAAAGCGCCGGTCTCCCCTGGTGACTAGCAACGCGGGGAAGATGGCGGCGCTGGTGGCGACCGAGGCCGCGGCGTCCCCGGACCCGGCGGAAGCCGCCGAGACGGCCGAGGCGGCGGAGCTAAGCCGCGTACTGAGCCGCATGCTGCCCGGTCTGGAGGCTGACAGCAAGCTGGGCCGGCGGCGCGCGCTGGAGGCACTGCAGCGCACCCTGGAGGCGGCGCGGCCCGAGGCGCCCGACGGCGACCCCTCCGCCGCAGCCGCCTTCCAGGGCCCGTGGGCGCGCCTGCTGCTGCCGCGCCTGCTGCGCTGCCTGGCCGACCCGGCCGAAGGCTGCCGCGCGCTGGCCGTGCACCTGCTGGACTTGGGCCTGCGGCGAGCCGCGCGGCCCCGTGACGCCCTCCCGCGCCTGCTACCCGCTCTCGCCGCGCGCCTGGCCGGCCCCGAGCCCGCGCGCCGCCCACCGCCCGAGGCCTGCGAGGAGCTGCGCCTGGCGTTAGTGCAGCTGCTCCACCTGGCCGTACGCCTGAGCGGCGCTGCGCTCGCGCCCCACCTGGACGACGCGATACGCGTGCTGCGCTGCACGCTGCTTGACCCCTTCGCCGCCGTGCGCCGAGAGAGCTGCGAGTGCGCCGCGGGCCTGGCGCGCGCCACGCCAGGTGCCCGCCCTTGTCTCCTTCCACGTCGCCCCCTCCCCAAGCCCGCCCCGGTCCGAGCCCTGCTGCACCCGCAGCCCGGAGCGCAGTGCCTGCGCGCAGTGGATGCTCGCTGGTTGCCGAGTGAAGCATCTCCCCGTCTCAACGCCGTCCCCTCTGTCCCCCACCCCCCAGTTCTTCGCGCGGGGTCTCTCCTCTGGCTCCCCGCACACTGGGCATTAGTGGACCAGAGCCTGCCTTGATCTGAGGACCCGAACGTTGAAAGAACTCGCCCCAAGTATCACTGAAATAGCGACCTTACAGAAGGGTCTCAAGCAGCGGCACAACTGCTAAACCAGAGGGTTCGTTTGGCTGTCACGAAGAGCCCTTGGTCGTGACTTCCTGTGAGACCTTTAGGAAGTGGGGTGACTTTGCCTGAGGCGGTGCTGATCCAGCTTCCTGCGGTTGTGCTGGGTGTCTGCCTGCAGGCTCATCCAGAGGTGGGGACGCACAGTGTCTCCCCACTCAGCGTACTCTGGAGTGCCTGTCACAGCCATCTGCAGCTTCAGGTTCTCCCCTCCCAGCTCTTGTGTTCAGCTGAGATGGGTCCAGCCCCAGCCTTTTCCCTTTGGTCCTCCCAAGCCTCTGGGTCGGAGAGGTGTTGTTTGGGTCACACGTCCAACTCTGCACCTCTCCTGGTGCTGGGGGTACAAAGCTGTGTGTGGCCAGCCCAAGGGAGCCGGGCCAGGGTTGACGCTCACAGGCTCCCCTGGTGACTGATGGTCTCCCCGCCCCACAGACCACTTCCACATGCAGTCGGAGTCCCTGATCGGCCCCCTGATGCAGTCCATCTCCCACCAGCACTGGAAGGTACGGGTGGCCGTCATCGAGGCCACGGGCACGGTGATCCAGTTTGGCAGCGGGAAGTCAGTGGACGACGTCCTTCCTCACTTTGCTCAGCGGCTCTTTGATGATGTCCCCCAGGTAACCAGAGTTTCTCCTCCAGGCAGTCCCTTTTCTCCACCAGAAGTGTGCCAGTGTGCTGTTTGTCACTCCCTCACTTTTGTCTTTTTTTAAAGACACTATATGTGACGTTAAATGTCCTTCCATCATTCGCGGTCACAGGTGTTCCTATTTCACGTCTTTGAGAAGCTGGGGGAGACCTGAGTCGTCTTAATATATTAGTTATTCTTAATTCTAAGGAATGGGGAAGAGGACTGCTTCCTTTTAGGAAGAAACTCTAAACTGAGTATTTCCACGGTTTGCAGAAGCATCTGTAACATCCTCCTCCATCAAGGTGATTTAATCAAAAAGCTGCAGAGGTTGGCAAACGAGGCCTGGGAGGAGGATGGAGCCAGGGTTGGTGTGTTGGGGTAATTCCTTCTATTGGCTTTGGGGCCTGAGGAGACAGACAGACAAGACAGGCAGGCAGGTGGAGGTGAGAGAACCAGCTCTTTTGTTGGCAGAAACCAGCTCAGAGGGCGTGTCGTGGATTTGAGGCCGTGGGGAGCAGAGTGAAGGCTGTGAGGGCAGGCTCTCTCCCAAAGGGAGGATGGGGTGAAGGGCTCCGGTCCCTTGGGGTGGGAGGAGTGGTGGCTGCCGGTGGGGGACCTGCAGGGTGGTCGGCACGTGGCCCCTGTGGCCCCGACAGCAGAAGTGCCAGCCTCTTCGTGTCCTGTCCATCCATACATTAAATATCATCTCAGTCCTTCCCACGGAAGTCCTCCACGTCCGAGGCTCGGGGCTGCTGTAAGGTACGCAGGGCCCTCCTGCTCCAGGCCTGGGTCTGGCCCCAGGCTGCTCGCAGCAACCCACCCTGCCTCCAATCACACGTTCTTGATTTGTTTCTTTCTTCTTTTTTTTTTGAATTGGCGTATAGTTGATTTACAACATTGTGTTAATTTCTGTTGTGCAGCAAAGTAATTCAGTTACACATATAGACTTTTTCATATTCTTTTCCATTATGGTTTATCACAGGATGTTGTGCTCTACAGTAGGGCCTTGTTGTTTACCCATCCTGTATATACTAGTTTGCACCTGCTAATCCCAAACTGCCCCTCCATCCCTCTCCCACCCTCCTCCCCCTTGGCAACCACAAGTGTGTTCTCTATGTCTATGAGCCTGTTTCTGTTTCATAGATAGGTTCGTGTCATATTTTAGATTCCACATATAAGTGATATCACATGGTATTTGTCTTTCTCTGACTTACTTCACTTAGTATGACAGTCTCTAGGTCCATCTATGTTGCTGCAAGTGGCATTATTTCATTCTTTTTTATGGCTGAGTAATATTCCACTGTATATATACACCACATCTTCTTTATCCATTTATCTGCCCATGGACATTTAGGTTGTTTCCTTATCTTGGCTATAGTGAATAGTGCTGCTGTGAACACAGGGGTGCATGAATCTTTTCGAATTATGGCTTTCTCTGGATATATGCCCAGGAGTGGGATTGCTGGATCATATGTTAGCTATAGGTTTAGTTTTTTGAGGAACCTCCATACTGTTCTCCATAGTGGCTGCACCAACTTACATTCCCACCAACACTGTAGGAGGGTTCCCTTTTCTCCACACTCTCCAGCATTGGTTATTTGTAGACTTTTTAATGATGGCCATTCTGACCTGTGTGAGGTGATACCTCAGTGTAATTTTGATTTGCATTTCTCAAATAATTACCAATGTTGAGCATCTTTTCATGTGCCTGTTGACCATCTGTATGTCTTCTTTAGAGAAATGTCTATTTAGGTCTTCTGCCCATTTTTCGATTGGGTTGTTTGGTTTTTTGTTGTTGAGTTGTATGAGCTGTTTGTATATTTTGGGAATTAATCTCTGGGACACATCATTTGCAAATATTTTCTCCCAGTCCATAGGTCATCTTTTCGTTTTGTTTATGGTTTCCATAGCTGTACAAAAGATTGTGAGTTTGATTAGGTCCCATTTGTTTATTTTTGCTTTTATTTCTATTGCTTTGGAGACTGACCCTCTGTATGATTTATGTCAGAGAATGTTTTGCTTATGTTCTTTTCTAGGAGTTTTATGGTGTCATGTCTTTAAGTTTTTAAGCCATTTTGAGTTTATTTTTGTGTATGGTGAGAGGGTGTGTTCTAACTTCATTGATTTACATGCACCTGTCCAACTGTCCCAACACCACTTGCTGAAGAGACCGTCTTTTCCCCATTGTGTATTCTTGCCTCCTTTGTCAAAGATTAATTGTCCATAGTTGTGTGGGTTTATTTCTGGGCTCTCTAGTCCATTGATCCATATGTTTGTTTTTGTGCCAATACCATGCTTTTTTTTTTAATAGATTTATTTATTTTTGGCTGCGTTGGGTCTTCGTTGCTGCACATGGGCTTTCTCTAGTTGCAGCGAGCGAGGGCTGCTGTTTGTTGCAGTGCACGGACTTCTCATTGCGGTGGCTTCTTGTGGCGCATGGGCTTAGTTGCTCTGCAGCATGTGGGATCTTCCCAGACCAGGGCTCGAACCCATGTCCCCTGCATTGGCAGGCGGATTCTTAACCACTGCACCACCAGGGAAGCCCTTACCATGCTCTTTTGATTGCTGTAGCTTTATAGTATTGTCTGAAGTCTGGAAGGGTTATGCCTTCTGCTTTGTTCTTTTTCCTCAGGTTTGCCTTGGCAGTTCTGGATCTTTTATGATTCCATGTAAATTTTAGGATTATTTGTTCTCACTCTATGAAAAATGTCATGGATAATTTGATATATATCACATTAAACTATAGATTTCTTTATGTTTTATAGCTTTTAGCACAGAAGTCTTTTACCTCCTTGGTCAGGTTTATGCCTAAGTATTTTAATTTTTTGGTTGCAATTTTTAAAAGATTTTTTTGTTTTAATTTCCTTATGATGTTTCATTGTTAGTGTAAAGAAATGCAACCAATTTCTGTATGTTAATCTTGTATCCTGCTACTTTGCTGAATTTGTTCATCAGTTCTAGTAGTTTTTGTGTGGAGTCTTTATGGTTTTCTAAATATAGTATCATGTCATCTGCATATAGTGAGAATTTTACCTCTTCTGTTCCAGCTTGGATACCTTTTATTCTTTTTTCTTATCTGATTGCTGTGGCTAGGACTTCCAATATATGTTGAATAGAAGTGGTGAGAGTGGGCATCCCTGTCTTGTTCCAGATTTTAGGAGGAAGACTTTCAGCTTTTCACCATTGAGTATTGTGTTGGCTGTGGGTTTGTCTCAAATAGCTTTTATTATGTTTAGATACGTTACTTCTATACCCACTTTGGTAAGAGTTTTTATCATGAATGGATGTTGAATTTTATCAAATGCTTTTTCTGCATGTCTTGAGATGAGCATGTGGTTTTTGTCTTTTGTTGATGTGGTGTTTCACATTGATTGATTTGCATATGTTGAACCATCCTTGTGACCCTGGGATGAGTCCATCTTGGTCGTGGTGTATGATCTTTTTTATGTGTTCTTGGATTGGGTTTGCTAATATTTGGTTGAGAATTTTTGCATCTATATTCATCGAAGATATTGGCCTATAATTTTCTTTTTTGGTGGTGTCTTTGTCTCTTTTTGGTATCAGGGTGATGGTGGCTTCATAGAATGTCTTTGGGAGTGTTCCCTCCTTTTCAGTCTTTTGGAAGAGTTTGAGGAGGATAGGTGTACGTTCTTTGCATGCTTGGTAGAATTCCTCAGTGAAGCCATCCAGTCCTGGATTTTTGTTTGCAGGCAGCTTTTGTTTTGTTTTTGTTTGTTTGTTTTTTGCCACACCATGCAGCTTGTGGGATCTTAGTTCCCCAAGAAGGGATTGAACCTGGGCCCTGGCAGTGAAAGCGCCAAGTCCTAACCACTGGACCGCCAGGGAATTCCCTGCAAGGAGCTTTTTTTTTTTAAATTTATTAATTTATTTATTTATGGCTGTGTTGGGTCTTCGTTTCTGTGCAAGGGCTTTCTCTAGTTGTGGCAAGCGGGGGCCACTCTTCATCACGGTACGCAGGCCTGTCACTGTCACGGCCTCTCTTGTTGCGGAGCACAGGCTCCAGACGCGCAAGCTCAGTAATTGTGGCTCACGGGCCCAGTTGCTCCGCGGCATGTGGGATCTTCCCAGACCAGGGCTCGAACCCGTGTCCCCTGAATTAGCAGGCAGATTCTCGACCACTGCGCCACCAGGGAAGCCCAGGGAGCTTTTTTATTACAGACTCTACTTAACTTCTAGTAATCGGTCTGTTTTAAGTTTTCTATTTCTTCTTGTTTCAATTTTGGTGAGCTGTATGTTTCTAGACACTCGTCCATTTCTTCTAGGTTGTCAAATTTGTTGACATATAATTGTTCATAGTATTCTCTTATGGTCTTTTGTATTTCTGCAGTATCAGTTGTTATTTTTCCTTTTTCCTTTCTTATTTTATTTATTTGGGACCTCTCTCTTTTCTTCTTGGTGAGCCTAGCCAGAGGTTTGATGATTTCCTTTTATATTATGCTTGTGTTCTCTTGTTTTTGGGTTTTGTGAATCTGTTGTATGTTTTTGATTTGTGGTTACCCTGTTTTTCAAGTATGTTAACCCATAATTATATCTACTTGCTTTAGACTGATAGTCATTATGGGCTCAAACACATTCTAAAAGAAAAAAAAAATCTACATTTTCTTCCTTTTCTCCCCCTACATTTTATGATTTTGATGTCCTCTTTTACATCTTCATAGTTATCCTTTTGTCATTGATTGTGGTTATTGTTGCTGTCACAAAAATTTTTTACATTTTTTTTAACCTGTATATTGGTTTATTTAAGGGATTTACCTTCCAATTGTGATTTTTCTCTTTCCTATAGCTTCTCGCTTCTTTTCTATCTAGAGAAGACTTTTCAATATTTCTTTTAAGATAGGTTTAGTATTGCTGTATTCTTCTAGTTTTTGCTTGTCTGAGAAATTCTTTTTCTCTCCTTCTATTCTAAATGGTAATCTTGCTGGGTAGAGTATCCTAGGTTGCAGATTTTTCCCTTTCAGGACTTTGAATATATCTTGCCACTCCTTTCTGGCCTGCAGTGTTTCTGTAGAGAAATCAGCTGATCATCTTATGGGGGCTCCCATATAATTAACTCTTTATCTTGATTTGTTTCATTTTTTAAAACAGCTTTATCAAGCCATAATTTACATACCTTACAATTCCGTCACTTAAAGTGTTCAATGTTTTTGATATATTACATCATTAATTTAAAATTTTTTCATAAATTGTTTATAACAACATTTGCTATTTTAGCCATTTTTAAGTGCACAGTTCAGTGGCATTAAGTACATTCACAGTGCTGTGCAACCATCATGACCATCCAAAACTTTTTTTATCATCGCGAACAGAAACTCTGTGACTGTTAAGCAATTACTCCCCGTCCCCCCCACCCCCCAATGACCTCTAATCTTTCTGTCTCTCTGGATCTGACAATTCTAGCTGTTTCATGTAAGTAGAATCAGGATGCGGTCTATTGTGACTGGCCTCTCTCACTCAGCATTGTGTTGGTGAGGTCCACCCGTCTGTGGCAGGTATCAGTGCTTTGCTCCTTTTAAGGCTAAATAACATCCATCGTGTGGACAGACCACATTGTGTTCCTCCATTCATCCGTCCATGGACTCTTGGGTTGTTTCCACCTTTTAGCTGTTGTGACTAGAGATGCTGAGGACGATGGTGTGCAGGGATCCGTTTGAGTCCTGCTTCACTTCTTTCGGGTAAACACTCAGGAGTGGAACTGCTGTGTCTGTCCTACAGTAACACATGTGTAGCTTGTTGAAGTCACCAAAGTGTTTTCCACGTGGCTGCACTGCTTTGCATTCCTACCAGCAATGTACAAGGTTTCCAGTTCCTCTGCATCCGTGAGTTGGTATCTCCCTGTGGTTTTGACTTGCATTTTCCTGAGGATTAGTGATTAGTGATGTTGAGCACCTTTCTACGTGCTGGTCACAGTTGCTTTATTCAATGAAACATTGAACTTGCACGAGTCAGGACAGTTGTGCTAGTGTGTGTGCAGACAGCCAGAATGGCTCCAGGGGCCTGTTCTATTACACAGGAAGATTAGAGGCTCTGATCACTTACCCAGGAAGTGATGAGAGGCCTGTCCCTCCCTACTTTCTCAGCAGGAGACCCAGAGGGATGGCCTCGCTTTTCCCTCGGGAGCCTGGTCACTTGAGGTCTGCAGGATATGTCCAAGGAGGTGGGAAGGGGTGGTGTCCCGGTGCAGCAGGGCTGTCACAGCTTCCTCCAGGCCCAGAAAGGCCCCGCCCCCCTGAGTGCACCATCCAGGTGAGAGCACCCAGCTCAGGTTAAGTCACTGCCCATAAACAGGCACATGCCATCGGTTGCCCCCGGCTCACCCTGACCGTCGGGCGCTCCCTGTGCACATTGCTCATCTCTGATTGTGGGTGTTTCATCTAGAAGACGGAGTTCTGTGTGCTTTGTGTAGTTGGGATAAAGCACTGACCCTGTTGTTGAGGCTCCAAGGATGTGACCGTATAGGTGTTTGCCCGGGAGCCTGCCTGGGAACAGCTCCACCTGCCCCGCTGCTGGCGCCCCACAGGCGATCAGCTCAGGCCCTTGGGCGCTTGTGCGCACCTGCCCTGGGCCAGAACCCTGGTGGAAGGGAGAGGGAGCAGGTCTGGTTGGCCCCCAGCCCCTCACTGGCGCGCAGGAATGACAGAGGGGGCCACGGGGTGGGGGGGGTAGATGGAAGGGGAGGGGAGGGGCGGATGAAAGAATGAACCTTACCTCGCAGGTGAGTTGCAGTGACGTAGAGGAGGAACCTGAAGCCGAGGCAAGGCGGCTGCTGCTCGTCCAGCGCTGGCTACTTCGGGGGCCACGGGGTGTGATGTAACCCGAGCCCCCATGGGTGGGATCCTGCCCGACTAAACTGGAACGGGCATCGGAATCCTTGGGTCCAATCAGAACATGATAAAAACAGAGGCCTGTTGCTGCTCCCTGGGTCACACGCGACATGAAGCTCACCTCTTCCCTGCGGTGGGTGAGGTGGGTAGAGGCACGCACATCACCTTCTTGGACATAGGTGGCCAGTGCCCAGCCCAGCCAGGAGGTTCCCACACGGGAGGCCGCAAACGTGCCACAGGGCTGAGGCAGGGCTGTAGGACCTGCTGTGGCCAGTGGCGGGTCCGGCCTGAGCCCAGGGGACAGGGGCTGAAGCAGCGAGACCTAGGGTGCTGGCGTCTTGTTCCAGGCCCGAGATGGGGATGCAGAGCTGCCAGAGCACCTGAGCGGGCTCTGGGGCCCCTGTGTGCCCGCACGGGGTCCTGGGGCTGCCGCGGGCCCCACGCGCCTGAAGGCCGCTCACCCTCCTCTGCCTGCAGGTGCGCCAGGCGGTGGCACGCATGGTCGGGGGCTGGCTGCTGCACCTGCGGGACCGCTACTCATTCTTGCATAGGCTCATCCCGCTTCTCCTGAGCGGCCTCGACGACGAGATCCCTGAGATCGCGTAAGTGGCAACGTGGCAGACAGGCCGAGGTTCTGGGTGCCAGGGCAAGCACGTCGCGCCCCAGAGCCGCCGTACCGCGCGCCTCCCTCCTGCTCACCTCACCAGGCGCTGGCTTTTCCTAAGCTGTTGTTTATGGCGGTGGTTGTTTCCTTTGGTCCAGAGTCTTGCGGGAGCCACTGTGTCCCCGCATCCTGTGTGCTGGGAGGCCATGGGGCTTTGACAGTACAGTTTTGCATCTTTAGCACTTTGCTTGGGTTAGTGATGGAGGCATGGCAGACTCACTGGTGAGCTCCCTCGGGCAGAGACCCAGCCGCCCCGCCGAGGGCGCCCCCCGACCTGGGTCTGTGTTGTGCGGCAGGTGCGGGGCGGCCGGCCTCTGGGAGCAGGTCGGGCTACACTGGCAGATGGAGAACGAGGAGGAACTCAAGGACAAGCTGGACTTCGCTGGCCCGCCCCCTGCACACCACCCCTCGCCAGGTGAGCGCGGCCAGCCCAGGCCAGTGGTGCGGCAGGGCGAGTCCCGGAGGTAGAGCCAGACGGCGGGAAGGGCCTCCCTCGCGGTCCTGGGCGGGCCTCCCTGGGTACGTGAGGGCGCGGCCAGCCGAGGAGCGTGAGCCTGATGGGGAAACGTTGGAAATGGGTGGTGTTTTGTCACCTCACAAAGCTGTTCTGTGAGCTTCACCTGGAGAAGCAAACACACAGGTAGCCGGTGAGACGCAGTCCTCGTGTTCCGGGTGATGCTACCCTCAGAACAGAGCCTCCCGTTGCTGGACCTCCCGTCCTGCCTCTCGTCATGGTTCTCTGCCAGACCGTGAGCGCCCGCGGGTGCGTGTGTGTGCGCGGGCATGCCATGTGTTCCCTTAGCTCTTGAGTCAGATCCAGGCTGCGTTTCCAAGGAAGCCCCCTGCCCGCCGGGCTGCGGCCCCCCTCCTTGCCCCTCAACCCTACACGTGTCTAGTTTCTTCTGCTCTGGAAACACTTTCTGTCTAGGAACGAAGTCCCTTCCACTGAACTTGATCAGACTGTATCACTGCAGTCTGTCTGCAGGTGTCTTCTTACAGTGGAGCGATGGTGGAGTGCTGCTGGCAGGGACAGAGCCTGGTACACATGCACCAGGTCAGATGGGCAGCACCATGGGAGAGACCGGGACCAGGGCCCGCAGGCCCCTCCAGCCCTAGTCAGGTGAAGTCAGGCTCGGACGGCCGCCCTGGAGGGGACACCTTGCACGAAGGGCAGCATGAAGACAACTGCTCACACCTCGTGTGCACCCGCTGCTGTTCACTGTGAGACCCAGAAGGCGGCTCCTCCCCCATACCTGGGAGGCCCGTGTTTTGTTTTTTTTTTTTGGTCCACATGTTTATTCATGCAGCTTCACCTCCCACACCGCACAACTGCTATAAGGGGAAATCACGCATGTTTTGGAAAAGGTACAAAAATTAGTTGCCAGCAGGGTTTTTTCTGATTTAGTAAAGTTTGAGAATGCACCATCTTTTAAATTATCATGTCTGCCGTATCAAGTACAGGAAAGGAGGCTTCAGAGCCATCTTCACAGTGAGGCGCGCATCTATGGAAATGCCTCTCAGGCTGTGTGCCCGCCTTTCAGTGGACCACTCCCCAGACGGTCCTAACCTGTCCCCTCATCCCACAACCTTTCCACAAGGGACATGTCGTCAGGAAGAAAAGGGCATTTATTGTTTTGCTTTTTGTTTTTTACAAAATTATAACAAGCTCACTTAAACCGCCAGCAGAATCTGAAACATTAGAACTAATTCTCTCATATACCATAAAAAGAGAAAAGTAACAGGAACAAAAATCCAAAGTGAGGCCTCATGGTACAAGCTGTTCTTTTTACTAAAACACGCTTTAAACTTTGACATGTCACGGTCTCATTTCTATCTCTAGAGTTGTTTTGAGTCTTTAAGGTCAAAATCTTGTAATCAAAATCCTCGAAGGCTTTTTTATAGAGATTGAGAAACTTATCCTGAAATTCACTAGGAAACGAAAAGGACCTAGCACAGCCAAAACTTTGAAGACGAAGGCCCAGGTTGAAAGATGAGTACTTCTGGTTTTAAGACATAAAAACGCAGTAATCAAGATGGTGAGGTTATGAACACAAAAACAGACCTACGTGGACTTCCGTGGTGGCGCAGTGGTTAAGAATCTCCCTGCCAATGCAGGGGACACGGGCTCGATCCCTGGTCCAGGAAGATCCCACATGCCGCGGAGCAGCTAAGCCCGTGCGCCACAACTCCTGAGCCTGCGCTCTGGAGCCCGCAAGCCACAGCTACTGAGCCCGTGTGCCACAACTACTGAATCCCACGTGCCTAGAGCCCGTGCTCCACAACAAGAGAAGCCACTGCAATGAGAAGCCCGTGCACCGCGATGAAGAGTAGCCCCCACTCACCACAACTAGAGAAAGCCTGTGCGCAGCAACGAAGACCCAATACAGCCAAAAATAAATTAAAAAAATAAAAAATCTGACCAACAGACCAGTGGAACAGAGCAGGGTCCAGAAACAGACACAGGCATGTGGACTCTGAATTTTGGCAAGTTGCAAAGACAAGGGGAGAAAAGACGTCTCAGCAATGGTGCTGGAATCACTGGATGTGCAAAAAAAGTGGGCTTGGATCCAACCCTCCTGATAAACGAAAATTAACCCCAAATGCCATGTGGATCTAAGGGTACGACCTAAATACACTCCACAAAAGAATGACTGATAAATTGCTTTTCATCAAAATGAAAACTTCTGCTCTTTGAAAGACATTAAGAGAATGAAACGACAGGGCACAGACTGAGATGTTTGCAAATCGTTTACGTAAGGATTTGTGTCCAGAGCACAGAGAGAACTCTCAAACTCAATATCAAGAACACAGTCCAGTTTTTTTAGTGGCAAAAAAAGTTTGAAAAGACACTTCACTGAAGACACACAGATGTCAAACAAGCCCATGAGTCAGTGCTCCAGGGCATTGCTCGTGAGGAGAGTGCACGTCAAAGCCACAAGGAGATGCCCCCTCCCTGCCTGGAGGTTTGACCTAAGACTGCCCGTGCCAGGTGTGGTGCGGATGTGGAGGAGCTTCAGGCCTCGTGCACGGCTGGGGAGGGCAGACAGCAGTGCAGCAGCATTGTAAAACCACTCGGCCATTTCTTAATCAGTATAGTGCCCACCTTCCATGTGCTTAACCATGGTGCTCCAGGGCGCCCACCCAAGAGAAGTCTCGTCGGCGACAGCCCACGGCAGAACCGCTCAGACGTCCACCGGCAGGTAGACAGACAGACTGTGGTCTCTCCGTGTGCTGGAATGCTGCTCAGCAGTGAGCAGGGGGCGGCGCCCCCCACCACTTGCTGGGCCTCAGAGCGGAGGAAGCCAGGCAGAGAGGAGCGTGTGCTGCGCAGCTGCACTCACAGAAAATCTAGAAATTGCGGCTCCCCATGGCGACAGGAAGCCGACGGGGGCTGCCCGGGGCGAGGGGAGGGCATCGTCGGGAGCACAGGGACCTTCTGGGTGACAGGTGCGCATTATCTTGATGGCCGTGATGGTTCACAGTGGTATCCATCTGTCAGAACCTCAGAGTTGTGCCCTTCGAGCATGTAGTTTACTGTGTGTCACACCTCAGGATCGCTGTAAAAACTTAGTAAATTATGACACTTTGTGGCTTCATTTCTGTCTTCAGAGTTGGTTTGAGTGTTTTAAGACCTCAAAATAAAACCCGTAGGTGTGCCTTAAGTGAGGAATGTGTAGTAAGTGACTGCACACGAATCGTTGAGATCTTGTTTGTGAATTTCACGGGTTCCCATCCATCTTTATGACCCACAGGGAGCCGCCCGGGGCTGGGCTGCCGGGAGCTGGTCTTCAGAAACCTCTCCAAGATCCTTCCCGCCATCTGTCACGACATCACCGACTGGGTGGTGGCGACCAGGGTGAAGTCGGCACAGCTGCTGGCGGTACTGCTGCTGCACGCGGAAGGCCACATCACGCAGCACCTGGAGCCCATCCTGCGCACGCTGCTCCACGCCTGCGCCGACGAGGAGGCGGCCGTGGTCCGCAGTGTGAGTGGCATTCCGCTGTCCTCAGGGGCTGCATGCACCCTCCCTAGTTCTGCAATCTGTGAACTTGGACACATACCAGCAGTCACGCAGTCGCCCCTGTGTGAAGGTGTAGGTGTTTCTGTGGCCCCCGGGCTCTCCCCGGCCTTCTGCATCCAGTCTGCGTGCCCATAAAAAATGGAGTTTAACGGTGCTCTTTAAGCATGTGCAGGTGAGCGGCCCTGTGTCTGAAGGTAAACACATCCTCCACCCGCAGGCCAGTGCAGTGGTCACTGTTCGGACAGACGTGCAGAGCCGGCCCCATGAGTCCCGCTCAGGCAGCCGGGCCTCAGAGAGGACTCTCTGACAGCCCTGCCCCCGCCAAACGGCATGAACTCCTTCCCCTGGCACTTCTGAGCTCATGAGGGGACTCACCAGTTTTCGTGGGCGTTTGAGCACATGTTAGGAAGAGACGGGCCTGCAGGGCTGCTTCTGGCAGGTGAAAGCGGGCACGGCAGACGCAGAGCAATGAGGGGCTGAGAGGGGCGGCAGCCTCAGTCCTCCTCCGTCTTCCCTCAGTGCACGAGATCCGCAGAGCTGATCGGGACCTTCGTCAGCCCGGAGGTGTTTCTGAAGTTGATCTTGTCGATGCTGAGGAAGTCTCCCTCCCCCTCCGGCCTCCTGGTCTTTGCCTCCATCATCCGAGGCTGCCCGAGGGAGGCCCTCCGGCCGCACGTGAAGGTCATCGCCGTGGAGCTGGCCCACGCTCACATCTGCCAAGGGTCTGAAAATGTAAGCGTGCGTGGGAGAGGGTGGGGCTGGGGGGATCGTAGAGTCCACCCATCTCCATGGTGACTCGGTCCCCTGTGGGACCATCCACACATAGCGGTTGTCAGTCCCATAGGCCTCTCGGGGACATCTGACCGGCATGGTAGCTGGGGTGCGGCCCTGGTGTCCTGTTTGGACCCACGCGCCTCCTGGCCCATTCTCCACCCTCCATGGCGGCCGTTTAAAGTAAAATGAAGCAAAGTGCAAAGGCAGTTCCTCAGTCACGCTGGCCACATGTCGAGCGCCCAGCAGCCCGTGTGGCCAGCACTGGGCGGTGTCGGATAGAGCGCGTCCGTCGTCGAGGGCAGTTCTGCTCTACGGGTGGCGCTGCTGTGGGTGGTCTCAGCTGGAGACCCCCCCCTCCCCCAGAGAACCTGTGAGTCCACACCCCGTCTCTTGGTCCACGTCACACGCGGTATCTCCATGGTGAGCTTACTCTTACCCCCGTCACTTGGCTTCTAACGGGGCTTCCAACAGGCAACCTGATCTGGCAACCGTTATTGGGAGCTCTGCTTGGTGGTTACAGATCTGTTTTGTCTTAAATCGAGCAGTAAATCCGTTACATCTGAAGCTGAAACAATGTAGGTAGTTAGGCTTAGTCATTTGGAATAATTTACAATTGTTTGCTGTTGAAGGAAAAGTAGTGACCTTATTTTCGCGTGGCTGTGATGGGCTTAAACCCTGAGTCTTGGCATTGGCCAGTCACCCTCCCATCTCTCTGTAGAGCAACGAGGGTTTGCCTCGCCAGGCGTCTGACCCATGCACCGCAGGCCCCCTGGGCCATGGGAAGCTGGCCCCGCACAGCTGACACTTGACAGTGGCTGCCACGGCCACAGAGCTGGATCACAGGGGTGCCAGGCTACCGCTCAGCCGCTGGGAGATGCACTTCCACACCTGCATCTGGCCTTGACTCTGACATACGTTCACAGTCTTGTGGGAACCATCTTAATAAGCCTATAAGGCAGCTTCTGAAACACAGATGGGGGGGATGGAACAGAGGTCTTGGAAGGGGGACGTTCGTGGGCTTTTTCACCTGCTTCTGGTGTTTTCAACCGTATTTCAACTTTTCCCAAAACCCATTTTTAAGATAAACTATGATTATCTAAAAATGTGGAAAAAAGTTCCACATTTTTACTCAACTGGTTCCAACAAGGATTTTCATTCCAGAAGCATTTCTGTTCTAGAAGGTGCAGCTTGAAAGTTTGTGTAGGTGTTTCAGTACACGTGTTGCAAGCTGTACAGCAAAGGAAACGTCTTTTCACACCTGAGTGTTGTTACAGGAAACCTTGGTCCCTCGATCCATCTAGTTCAGAGCGCACACTTGGTTCCTCTTCCTCCAATCCTTCCAGGAAAGATTTACTCGGTCCTGCAAACAGAGGGGCCCCTTCCTGACAGTTCCATCCACACACGTGTCTCTAGACACGTTCCAGCCTTTGGCCAAGGGACCAGCCGGTGTGAACCCCAGTCATGTGACCCACTCCCATCCTCGCACGCCTGTGGCCAGGATGCACGGCCTCCGCACAGGGAGGGGTCGTCCTAGTGTTTCCTACAGTCGTTCTCCAGGGACTGTGAGGACAGGCCTCAAATGCTTCAAGACCAAACTAAAGGTAAAGCCCCGGCCTGAGCCAACAGGGCCCCAGAGACGTCCTGCTCGTCTGCCTGGGCCTGGGCTCAGCTGACAGGACCGGAGCCTCTGCTTTGAAGTCTGGCTGTTTATCGACAGGGGACTGAGATGCAGAAACGGTTGATAAAACAGGAGTAACTCGTTTCCTCCTGTTTACTCATTAATCGGGTGTGGGGTCTGGGATGGGAGTGCCTGGCGCTTTCTCCAGTGAAGTTGTGGGATCTCCCTCTGTGTCAGTTTCCTCTGTGTCTTGTTTTCTTTTTGTGTGTGTGTGTGTGTGTGTGTGTGTGTGTGTGTGTGTGTGTGTGTGTGTGTGTGTAGGTAGGTAGGTAGGTGTTGAAAATCCTCTGGTTAAATATCGCGAAATCTGTGAACGTTAAGGCCCCGTTTCCTCAGAGGTGGTGCCGTGTTCACAGCAGGAGGGCAATGCTTGTGAAGGACACAGACCTTTGGTTAGTTCCAGCATCTGGAGGTGTCGTGAGATGGCTCAGCCAATGCTGAGAGCAACTCCCTGTTTATTTATTTTTTTAATTTTTAAAATTTATTTATTGTTGTCTGCATCGCATCTTCATTGCTGTGCACAGGCAGCGAGCAGGGGCTACTCTTCGTTGCGGTACGCAGGCTTCTCATTGCGGTGGCTTCTCTTGTTGCGGAGCACGGGTTCTAGGTGTGTGGGCTTCAGTAGTTGTGGCGTGTGGGCGTTAGTAGTTGTGGCACGCAGGCTCAGTAGCTGTGGCTCACGGGTTCTAGAGCGCAGGCTCAGTACTTGTGGCGCACAGGGTTAGTTGTTCCTCAGCATGTGGGATCTTCCCGGACCAGGGCTCGAACCCGTGTCCCCTGCACTGGCAGACGGATTCTTAACCACTGCACCACCAGGGAAGTCCCAATCCCTGTTTATTTTAATTGAAAGAATGGTAGCTCCTTAAATATGTATTGTAGGTCATTTAGAAATTAGCCAAAATCATGCCCTCAAAAAAATCAGTCAATCCAGGTCTGAAAGAAATGGGGCTGTGGGAAAAGTAGGTATTTGAATAAAACACCAATTTTGGCTCCTCAGGGGAGTTAGGACCCCCGAGTGGCTGGGGACATGCCACAGTGAATTTTTTGTTTAAACTTCTCTGATTTATATCACTTGTGAATGAGTCGTAGGATTTTAGAGCTGATTCCGAATTTAGAACCAATCCATTGTCTAGCCAAATCTTCACCATACTTTTGAGCTCACATCCCCATTAGTGAAAAAAAACACTTTAAGCATTTTGCCCTGGTTCCCTCTGTCCTTTATGAAACATAGAAGAGCAGGCATGTGGGAGGGGTGTTCTAGGCGGTTCTTCCTCTGGGGCCCCCACCCCATGCCCACTCCTGGCCCCCATTTCACAGTGGATGAGGCTGGAGCCCGGGAGGTGAGAGATGGGCTCGACCCAACCGGGGTGTCACCTTGACCCCCGGCAGTCTGGAAGCATCTTTGAATCATAGAATTTTATTTTTCTTAGTATTATAGAAACACTCAGAAGTGCACAGAAGGGGAGGGGAGCAGTGTGCACCCGTCGTGCCTGCCGCCCGGTTCCAGCCACGTCCCCCTCGGTCCAGCTTCTCTCTGACTTTGGGGGTGGGGTGGGAAGAGCTGGGGTACTGAGAGCAAATCCAGATTCCCTGTCCTTCCACTTGTCACTTCTACAGTGTGTGTCAGTAACACATGCAAACTTTTTAAAAATGTAACTCAAATACTGTTAAGCACTTAACAAAGTTGCCGTGAATTCCTTGATTCTCGGGGATTCAACAGGGATTCAGTTTCCCGGTTGTGCAGAGGGGCACCCTTTTTATGGCTGATGTGCCAGAATCCTGGCCCAGTCCACTCGCGGGATCGCCGTGGCTCCATGGCCCTGGTCAGTGGGGCCTCGTCTGGGCCGCTGAGCGGGTGCAGGGGTGGCTGATGGTGCCCTGCTCTCTCCGCAGCGCTTGTACGGGGAGCGCCTGCTGCAGTGCGTGCAGGCCGTGGTGTCCGTGAGCCGGGAGGACTGCCGAGGGGCTGGCGTGCCGCTCATGGAGGTGCTGGTGACTGTCCTGGCGCTGTGGGGACCCGCGGGCCTTGGTGCCAAGGTAAGGGGGCCATCCTGCTTTGCCTCAGCCCCTGGACGGGAGGCTGCCATCTGTCAGTCTCTGCTGTCAAACTCCAAGCCTCGGGCTGGCCCAGCGAACTGTCTACCTAAGATGAAAGAGTCTAGAACGTGCGGGATGATTCGTTCTCTAGGCGGCCTCAGGGGCACACGGGATTTTAAATTCCCTCCAACTGCCCATTGGCTTCAGGATCTCAGAGTGAGGCCGGCTGCTTAATCTTGGAGAAACAGGCAATATACGAGGGCTCCCTCGTCTTAAATCTGTGTTTGAGGGAGGTTAAGAATACACACGTGCACCGGAGGTCAGGAGAGAAAATAATATCATGATTTTCCTATTTAGTTGCAGCCCATCTTTACACAATTGTTTCCATTCTCCTGGCTCTGTATTTTCTTTTCAAATTCTTTTCTCCATTGAACTTCCTTGCTTCTTTATTGTTTTGGCTGTGCCGCAAGGCATGTGGAATCTTAGTTCACCAAACAGGGATCCAACCTGCATCCTCTGCATTGGAAACACGGAGTCTTAACCACTGGACCTCCGGGGAGGTGCCCCCCCACCCCGGGCTCTGTATTTAACTTAAAATCTTCTGACATCCAGCTCCCTGTGGCTGTGAGGACCATCCAGAGACCCGGCTGTCTGATCACTTCTCCCCAAGCTGAGAACCCGGCTTCTCCCCCTGGTTCTCTCTTCCCCTCTCCATCCACGCTGTGTCCCGGAGGCTCCCCGCCTGCCCTCCCCTTCCCCGGGGCCTTCGTAAACTGTGTTTTCTTTCTCTCTTTAAAAACCCCCTTTCCGGAGGGCACGTGTCCGAGCAGGGAGGTCATCACTGTAGGGCTGTAAATACTAGAAAAGCCGAGTCTGTCATTACGGGTGAGTCTGCAGGCCAGACTGGGGCCCCGGGACAGCTGCACAGCGTGCTGGGGGCGTCCTGTTCCTAAAGCCCTGGGGGAGGAGGGTCCGGGCCTCCGTCTCCTCTTTGCCCGCAGAGCAGCAGACACGCTGTCGCCAGCGGTCTGGTCAGGTGAAGCACTCTGAGAGCGAGGACGTGGGCCCATCTTTGGCACCCGTGGTTTAAGTCTGTTCAGTGCCGGCCCTGAAACTGCCTGCTCCCCCTTCTCCATAGATGGAGCCTGGCTGGGCCTCCAGGGTGAGCCTCCCGCCCTGCAGGGACTGCCCTGCCCCGGGTGTTGCCTCATGGGGGGTGGGGGGACTGTACCTGAACTGCCCGTAGATGCTCGTTTGCCCATTTCATTATTTCTCATACAGCAGGGGCGTCGCGGGAGCCCCGGGCCACGTGGCATGTGCCCGAGTGGCTCTCCCTCCCTCAGGTGGTGAGGACGGGTCTCCAGTGGGGTCTGTGAGTCCCAAGATCAGATTGTCCCAGCCTGTCATTTGCTCCCCCAGGTTCAGGAGGCGCTGGCCGAGCTGGCCGCGGTGGAGAGTGTGGACGGCAGCCAGGACCTCTTCCGAGCGCACGTGGGCGCCCTCCTGGAGCGGCTGGCTGCCTCGCACCGGGACTGGACCGGCCACTCCACGGGGTTCCTGCAGTTTGACGTGGTGCTTGCCCACTCAGGTGAGCCTCAGACGGGCGCCCCGGGCGGGGTTCGGAGCGCTGGTCCCGTGGTGGCCCCAGCAGCCCCGGCACAGATGGGCACAGCTGCTCAGCACCACCCGGGAGGCGGCACGCCAAGGCCTGGTTCTTCAGAGTCACTCACGGTCACTCTCAACCTGCAGAGAACAGCTGTTTTAAGGAACAAAACCTTAATTTAAAAGATGCCACGAGCAGTGCTTGAGAGTCCGCCTGCCGATGCAGGAGACGCGGGGTCGTGCCCCGTTTCGGGAGGATCCCACATGCCGCGGAGCGGCTGGGCCCGTGAGCCATGGCCGCTGGGCCTGCGCGTCCGGAGCCTGTGCTCCGCAAATGGGAGAGGCCACAAACAGTGAGAGGCCCGCATAACGCAAGAAAAAAAAAAAAAAAAAAATAACTGATAGCAAATCTCCCTATAAACATAAAGAATAGACATGGATTAAAATACAGATTTGCAAAGCATGAGCATAAACAAAAGATGGCATTTTTTAAAAAAGGAATGCACACTATGAAGTTAAATGTTCTTTTATAGTAACATAAGATACATACGTAAGACATTTCTGCCTTTACCCGTCGTTTCATGGATAGTGAGCTACAGAAGTAGAAGTACACCTGAACTTCAGTATAACTGATCCTTGTTGTTGTGTCTATAACAATATTGTATTATCTGAATGTAGTTAACGCTTGATTTTATATATATATATACCTTTTCATGATCAATTTTAAGTTTCGTTCTTGGATATTTTGCCCTAAACATGGAGTACATTTCTGGCATGCTTATCATCAGAAAACACAAAAAAAAAAAAAAAAAAAAAGATGCCACGAACTCTATAGTGAAGACTTGCTGTAACGTGGGTCTTTAAAGTCCGCCCAGGCGCACGTTTTGATGTTAAACCTTTTTTTTTGGAAGAATTAGTTCGAGTGTGACATAGAGGCCGATGCACGTTTTTAATTTTGTTTATTTATTTATTTGGCTGCGTCGGGTCTTAGTTGCGGCACGCGGAATCTTTCGTTGCAGCACGTGGCCTCTTCATTGCAGCACACGGGCTTCTCTGGTTGTGGCACATGGGCTTCTCTCTGGTTGTGGTGCATGGGCTCAGTAGTTGTGGCGTGTGACCTTAGTCGCCCTGCAGCATGTTCATTCCTGGACCAGGGATCGAACCTGCGTCCTCTGCATGGGAAGGCAGATTGTTTTTTGTTTGGGGTTTTTTTTTTGCGGTACACGGGCCTCTCACTGCTGTGGCCTCTCCCGCCGCGGAGCACAGGCTCTGGACTTGCAGGCTCAGCGGCCATGGCTCACGGGCCCAGCCGCTCCGCAGCATGTGGGATCCTCCCAGACCGGGGCACGAACCCGTGTGCCCTGCATCAGCAGGTGGACTCTCAACCACTGCGCCACCAGGGAAGCCCGGGAAGGCAGATTCTTAACCACTGGGCAACCAGGGAAGTCCCTATGTTAAACCTTGAAAGCGTGACTTTGCATGGCATCCTGTGTGGCCCATGGTCTTCAGTGGCGTCCCCGTGCTCTTCCCCCAGGTGCTGCCTACCCTCTGTGCCCACTTGGCCTCCCGCCCCGGGGGTTAGGGTAGGACCAGCAGGGCAGCGGGACTCCGAGCTCGCGGTCTTGCATGCCGTGCTCCTGGCCACAGTGCACCCTGGCAGCAGCAGAGCTCTGGGCTACAGTGGACCCTCCAGTCACGCTTGTTTTGCTTTGACCCTGGGCTTTGAGGTGATACCTCTGAAAAGACTGAAGTCCTGACTGAGTCCAAAAGTAGCAGACCGGAAGTAAACCAGAGGGCCTGAGGGTGACGGCTTCACTTCTGACACACGATGTTCCGGGTCAGCACAGGGCCTGGCAGGGAGGGCAACTGGTGACCCGATTCTTCTGAGCTGCGGCTCACGTCTAGACCCCGGAGACTGTGTTCTCCCCATCACGTGCAGGTCCAGGTCCTGAGCACCGTCACTGCATCTGGGATCCTTCCAGGCTCGGGGACAGTGGCACAATTTGTTCATCTAGTAACAGGCATGGGAAAGGATGCTGGCTGCCAGGCTCAGGGTCAGACATCAAGCAGCCTACATGGTCTGAATGTTGGGTTTTGGTTGGCCTTTAAAAGATTGCTTGGGGACTTCCCTGGTGGTGCAGTGGTTAAGAATCTGCCTATCAATGCAGGGGATACAGGTTCAAGCCCTGGTCCGGGAAGATCCCACGTGCCGCAGGGCAGCTAAGCCCGTGCGCCACAGCTAGTGAGCCTGTGCTCGCGAGCCACAACTACTGAGCCCATGTGCCACAACTGCTGAAGCCCACGCGCCTAGAGCCCATGCTCCACAACAAGAGGAGCCACCACAATGAGAAACACGTCCACCTCAACAAAGCCCAACACAGCCAAAAATAAATAAAATTTAAAAATAAATTAAAAAAGAAAAAGTTTGCTTGACTTTAAATTTTTTTAAGAATTTGGTAAGATGTAGGGAA